ATTTCAAATTTGATTACAGGATCTAAAGCCTGGAAACCTGGCAGTGAATGAAGACTGTGAATTGAAGGTAGGATACATGTATTTGAAAAAACCAGTAAGCTGTGTTAGAAACACACCACAGGAGACAGCGGGTGCGGCAGCTGTAGATGTACTGGCTGGTTTCAGTGGTGGGTCAGGCTTGCAGCCCACAGGCTTTGAGGAGTCATGGAGAAATAGGGGAATGCTGGAAAATGAAAGGGAAGAGGATCATATGGGCAGTAGCGACTTCAGTCAGCACAGGAATTATTATTTATTTATTTAAGAAATAGAGCCCTGAATAGTCAGAATCTATTCACCTCCTATTTTAACTGACATAAATGTGCATTTCATATGAATGGCAAAGGTGATAATCAATTCCTGTGATCACTCTGGAGCCAAGAACTACCTATTGGGGTTTCCATCCAAGGATGGATAGAAGGATGGTGCACACCCATACCCCTTCCCAGTATGGAAACTGGACTTAGCTGGCATGTGCCGTTGAAGACTGAGGCTGTAGCACCTGTTGCAGCAAGTTGCTTCTCCTGCAGTGTAGATGTTGCCACTTCCTTGGAAATGTAGGGTCTGTCTGAGTAGTAATTCTTCTCCTGCACATTTGTCACCTCAAGCCTCCTGAATCATTTAACTGAAATACTGAGTCTGACCAGCTCTAATTGCAGTTTCTTACAAGCATTGGAAATCTTCCAAAGCCTGTTAAAGTGGATAATATTTGTACTTTGGAAATAATTACACAGTGTACCCTGACCTAGCAAAAATGCATCTATTTTGCTGTGTAGAAAGACTTTGTTATAAAAAAGCCAATTATTTATTATCAAGTAGAATTACATAGTACTCAACACTGCTTATTTTATGCATATGGTTTATTCTCTTGAGTGTAGAGATAGTAGCCTCAGACTGCTTCCAGTCCCCAGTTAATTCTGTTATTGTATTGTAATAGATCATAATTAATTTTTTGAATTGTTTTTGTTGCCTCTCCTCTCTTAGCTCAAACAATCCAAAAGGGTCATCAGGGTTTTTCAGCTAATTACAGAATCAAGCTACATCTTCTATCCTGTGTTTGAATTGTGACTGGCCTAGGCATCCTCGCAAAACAACAGTAGGGTTGAATGGGAGCTTTTGTGTCCTGATATGGGGCTTGAAACACATATAAACTGGTGGCTGTTCATGCAAAGTTACATATTCAAGTATCTGTGCTTGATGATGGTTTATCTTGAATAGACTTTACTTACTCAAGACCCGTGCTTCTTGTTAGGAGCATTAACTTCCTGATAAACTACTCACTCTCATTCCAAGAGTGTTCCTTGCTGTTGGCTTCATGTTTTGGCACCATCTTTTGAAGATCCATACAAGTGGGCCTTTACATTAGCCAATTTTCTAACAGATGGTAGAAGGACAGAAAATTAATTTTTAATTTTGCTGCTGTACACATTGCTATATCTAGAGATAAGTATCTGAGAGTCTTAGAAATCAGCTGAGTTGTGTGTAATCCTTTAAAAAAATTGACTTTGTGTTTCTTACAGAGAATTGTTCTGTAGTTGATGCAGTAAGTTGGGAGAATTCAGTGGGGCTAAATAATTATCATTCCCTACTCTTGTTGTGTATTTTCAGTGTGACCTAGATTAAGTTTTCCCTTGGATGAAAACTCAAAAAACAAAAATAATTATTTTTTTCTTACTTCAGAGTATTATTGGAATGCACTCTTGAATAACTGTGTCACCTGGGGCATGACAGCAATGAATACCACCTAAGATGGGTGCTTTTCTTTTAGCCCTAACAAGCTATGGTAGTCATTCTGTGGCCAGGGAATTTTTTTGCATTGAATGGGACCCTTATTTTTTTAATCAGTAATTGAAGAATGTATTATTTTCTTATTGGTTTTACAGCTTTTAGTGTTGCTGTAGGAATATCTAACATGGAAAAAAAATCTTACAGCTCCTTGCTGCTTCTCTCTTTATTTTTCAGATGAGAACATGACACTTTGATGAGAAAAAAGATGCAAAGAGAAGCCAATCTCTGCAGAACGCTCTAGTTCTTTTATCTTCTGCATTTGTGAAGTCTGTATAAAATAGATAACCAGATGTCTAATCAGGATGTTCTTTGTGCTTCCAATACAGATTCTGGATTTTGGATTGGCAAGGCATACAGACAGTGAGATGACAGGTTACGTGGTCACCAGGTGGTACAGAGCCCCAGAGGTCATACTTAACTGGATGCATTATACACAAACAGGTCAGCAGCTCTTCGGAAAAGTCTTCACTAAATCAAGCAATATATAAGCAAGTCTTTGTTCCTGAAGTGAATGAGAACTTAGAGGTGGAAATTGCAGTTTAATTATGCAAAACTTCCTTGTAGCTAAATTGCAGGCAATAGTTTGGTGGTTGTGAGTTTGAGGGCTTTTTTGTATATTTTCAGAGAGTAACAGGAAGTGCCCAGATGGTTGGAAAAAAGCAGTATAAATGAATCCAGATGTGACAGTCTGGTCTGTGTTCTTGTGTTCTGCGCTGTCATCTTCCTGCACAGATGTGCTGACTATAACTCGACCAGAGAGGGGCAAAAGGCAGAAGGAGGAAATCCAAGTCATGCTAGGATAAATATGGAGGTTTTGGAAAGCATCGAAAATTTACTTCCGATGTGCATCTGCTTGTTATTGAGAAACTGATTCTGCTTATTAGCAGATTATCTCCAGTTGACAGATTAGAAAGGCTGGTAGTTTTACCTATACTGTTGATCATATTTGGCCAGGCACTCATTTATTGTGTAACAGGCTATAAATGTTAATTTACACTTCTTTAAAATTAATGTTTTAAATTAAAATTTATGTACGTTTAAATGGACAGCAATTTAATGTGTCTGTTGGTCTTTTTTTCAGTTGACATCTGGTCTGTGGGCTGTATAATGGCTGAGATGATAACAGGGAGGCCTCTGTTCAAAGGAAATGATCGTATCCTTCAGTGAATTTATGACATTAATGTGAGAAAATTAAGAGACGTTCCTATGTGACACAGTAGGTCTGTTCAGAAACTGATGAGCATAAATTCAAATGAATAGTAAAATGGCTTTCACCTTTCTCACTGATGGGTTATTTGATTGCTGTTCCAGTTTTGCACATCTGCAAATTAAGACTTGTATTACTGAACTTTTTCACTAGAGATGGGATCTTTGAGTCACATCTCAAATCATCAGGTGAAAGCTTTTGTGATGATAGAAAAGGCATATTTAGATATTTTTTTTAGTAGTAGATTCCACAGCTCCAGAACACAGAAGATTTTACTGTATTATACAGACTTAGATGGTGTAGATTTACAGGACACATCTAGTCCTGTCATTTCATTGCTGAGAAAGAGAATAGTTAAGACTAAGCTATAATTCAACCTCAAGTGATCCTTCATTGGCAGTAGTAGTTGTGACAGTTAATAGAGGATGGTGTTAATAGAAGACAGCAAGCATTTTTTACTTGTTTTTTTGTTTCCCATCTTTGCATGTTCGACAGCTCAGCTTAATCATTTTACACTGCTTCCCCCCTTGTAGAGTTCAAGTCAATAAATTTCTTGTATGCAAATGCTTGTTTCCATAATCATAATAGTTTAATTTTAGTTACATTTCTGTTTAAGTACTTACATGTAAGATTAGGACTTCATTGCATGGATCATATTATTATCATTTTGTGAGTAGAAGTGTGAAAAAATAAAGAAGAATGTGTTCACAAAAAATATGACAGGGACTATGGAAAAGTAGAATATATCAATTTTTTTCAGCTGTACATATTTTAGTTCTGAACAAGAAATACTAACATGCCTGGCAAAGAACGTAGTAAGGTGAATAGGTTATCCTGCAAACTTGGTGTGGGACTTTGTTTTTTTATTTATTTCATTTCATCAGCATTACCCACCATTGCCTTTTTCTGCAGAAGTTGGTAGAATCTTCATGTGTCGTGCACTGATCTAGCTTCTAGCTTCTCTCCTGCTGCTCTTACAAGAGTAGCAAACTAGTCATAAAGCTGTTCTCTGCAGCATTAGCCTCATGTGAATATGGTGTTTCTTCTTTGAAACATCTACTATTGTTGCTGATTAATCTGTGCTGGTTTAGGACACAGAAGACAAGGATGTGTTCTGGTGCCTTACCCCAATTTATCCAACATTGCAGCCTCTGGAAATGAGAAGGAGAGGAATTAATTTATTTTCTTTGAAGTTTCTCCACATGAAGGAGGAGTAACTGGTTTCCTCTAATTTTTGTTCTGTTTATCTTACCTCCTGATGTACCCTGTGATTTTTCCTATCTCTATTTCACTTAAGTATTGGATATGGCAGGGCAATGCATGTAATACATGTGTTGATTTTTCAGATACTCCAATACTTTTTAATTGATTTTGACCAAAAATACAGGAGAGACCTGATAATATTAAGAGGATTTTACAGATTATACATGTACCTGTTCCCAAGTTACAGGATACTTTATTTTGGGTCCTTTCAGTGTCTTTGCCTTTTGCAGGAAAAAAGGAGAACTTCAATCTCATCTTTTATAAATCTTCTACTCGGTCCTTGCATTATGATTTTTGCTTCCAATAGTGAATAAATTCACAATTTTTGCAAGGTGTTTCATTTTTATGGTGGAAGACTTTGTTCCTTATTTCTGGCATTCAGATCTGGACCAACTCACAGAAATAATGAAAATAACGGGTACACCAACTCAAGATTTTGTTCAAAAACTGCAGAGTCAAGATGTGAGTATTCTGCTTTTTCAGTTGATTTGACATGTATTAATATGACTTAAGCCATGCTCAGTTCTTGGACTGGCTAAGATGATGAAATTACCTCTGATGAGATCTCTGCCTTGAAGAGGCACACCCTGAATAGGCACTGAACATTAAGGAGGCACAGAAAATGATAACTTTACATTTACATTTAAATACTTCAAAGTTTCCAATGTGCACCATATAACCAGTTGAGCTGCTGCATTACTACCTTTATTGGAAATGTACTGAAAACATGAACCTATTCAGAAAACCCAGTTACCCTGCAAATGTCTCTGACTCTCTTTCCTATTCTTGTTTGGATGTTCTAGAATCCTTAACTACCTACTATAAAAAAACCCTAAAATGAATCATTAGAGTAACTATACAATTTAAATAGTAATTACTGTATAAAGTTCACTTCTAGAGATTAATGTAAATTCACTTTGACATTCTTTCAAAGTATGCATACATATTTATTTCAATTAACACATTAAATATTTAGCACTAATAATTAAAACTTTACATTATCATTTCTTAATCATAGTTTTAAGGCTTGATTTTAAAGCAGAAGTTCATTTCAACAAGGAGGTGAATATAATCATTGTTTATGACCCTAATAAAATTCATTTGTACAATGTGCTATCAAAGCACTTTTGAATTACCTATTAAAAATATAGTTAATGTTTCCACATTACAAAGGCAGCAAAGGTCTAATTTAATATTAATGTTTCTTTTAAGGCAAAAAACTATATCAAAAGCCTCCCAAAAGTCCAGAAAAAAGATTTTGCATCCATCTTGAAGAATGCGAATCCTTTGGGTAAGACAGTGTGTGCAGTTTGTCTTGTTCTTTTGTTTGCATCAGAGGCAGCAGCAGCATCAGTCAAGTGATCAGTTATGTGATGATTCTTGTGCTTTTCTATTTCTTGCTTTCTGTAATTCATAACTTTGATTTTTGTGGCTGAATTTTGCCAAATATAGACACTGCCCAGAATCAGATGTTTCTTAGAAGAGTCAGAAAAGGATATTTTGTGGTTTGGGCTCCAATCCAGCATCTGCTTAGTTGTGTTTCTGGAGCAGCTTTCTCAGGAGCCCTGGGAAACTAAATGTATGTAAGATATTTTTCTGTGTATTGTATTTGAAATGTACTTCTGAAACTTCAGTCTGATCTACAGTAGAAATGCAAGTAAATATAAAGTTGACATTTCAGTCAAGGAGTGAATACATCCTGAGAAACATGTGTGCATTCCTGAGAAGCACTGGCTTGGATTTGAGAGATATAAAAGCCAGGGGAGTATACCAAGTGTGCATAACTGTGACATGACTCAAAGCAGCCAGAGCTCTGCCCCAAACTTATCCATTCCCCTGTGACCTGAACACTCACAAAGCCATTTTTATTAGAGTATCAATTGGGATAATTGAATCTCCCAATTGAAGAAGTTAAAATTATATGTTCACGTAAACCAGAAATTAACATGGTTAATAAGCAGCTCTTACCCTGACTGCACGGTTAGCTCTCTGATCTTCTCAGCTATAGCAACTTCTGTGCATTTACATCTAGTTTTTAGACATTTCTTCCTATCACTTCTGTGTCCATCTGACTCCTCCTTGTGTGGAGAACAATTAGCTGCTCATGGTCTGGGAGAGAAGACTGTAGAGAATCAAGCAGGAGTTACAGCATTCTGTACCACACTGCTGCCTCCTCTTCCTTTCAGCTGCTCCACCCAACCCAGGAACGTTCTTTCAGGGTAGAAAAACAGAGAATAAACAAATCATTCATCATATCTGTTTACACTAGCCCATTTTGACAGTCTAACAGTGAACTTTATCCAAAATCCACTGGCAAGGAACACACAAGATTTTCATGAGTAATTTTGGCTGGGGTGAAAAATGAATAGCAGATAAAGTCATAGAATTACATAATTGTTCTGGTTGGAAAAGACCTTTAGGATCATTGAGTCCAACCATAAACTAACTCTGCCAAGACCAATGCTTAAACCATGCTCCTAAGCATCCTATCTGTAAGTCTTTTAAACACCTCCAGGAAGTCAGTGCTGAGATTCTGAGCACAGACAACTGACTTGTCTTAGTGAACTTCAAAATGCACTTGAGCTTGGATTTGGTCACACACAGAGCAGATCCCATTAGCTCTATACCCACCTGTTCATTCTGCTGCTGTCAGGTTGTGCTGTACCTTAGACACACTTAACACAGTGGCTGCAGTGACACCTGGGAAAGCCCCAAGCACAGTGGTCCTGGAGCAGAGAAGTCATTAGTGATGTGGCTGATTTGCTTACAGAAGCAAGGGAGCATCTCTGCTTTCCATCAGGCTTTGTACACATCCCCACTTGCTCACACTATCTGTCATGCAGATGGGCCCCACTGGCTACAGGAAGAACACCCAAGGATTCTGCTTTATAACTCAGTGTATTTATTTGAAATATCTCTAGGGCATCAGTGCTTTGGTTTGAGTGCACTGTTTGTTTTCTGTTCAACAGCTGTAAACCTTTTGGAGAAGATGCTGGTGCTGGATGCAGAGAAGCGAGTCACAGCAGCTGAGGCTTTGATGCATCCTTACTTTGAACCAATTCACGATCCTGAGGAAGAAATTGAAGCTGAGAAATATGATGACACATTTGATAACATGGATCTTCCGCTAGATGAGTGGAAGCGTGAGTTTAGTTTTGGGATGTTTTCAAAATGACCAGATAGAAAGGTCATCCAGAAATAGGAATATTCTCCTTTACAAATTACCTTCTCTACTTTTGATGGAACAGAGTAAATAGATAGTGTTAAGATAGAGAAATACTGCCGATAAACCAATGTGCCTATTATTACGTCCTCTTGGAACCATCCAGAAGATTTCCTTCTCTGTCTCCTAACAGAGACTCTTCTTGTCCTCCTTGGTGTCTTCATTCTTCTCTTCCTTCTTCATGTGTCTGTCCTCCCATCTTCTGCAACATAGGAAAAAAACCATTTCTGTAATATGTTCCTTGCAGTAGAAAGGACAAGTGAACAGATTCCTCAACTGTTTGCTCTATAGGACTGCAACAGTTTCTGACTTTAATTTTAAGTTAGATTCTCTTAGGGAGAGAAAACATATGCATCTGAGCAGAGATTTAAGTCTGAATCTAGTTTCCATCTGATGTCAGAGGTTTGTATTTTGGCTTTTAAGTGAGGACTTGACTTTTAAAGCTGATGTATTCAGTAGGTCTTTCTGGGGATGTTGCACCCTATACTGTAAATTCAATGCTTGCATCCCTTGGAAAGAACCTCTAATATTGCACTGTTGGGCTACCTCAACTCTGAAATGGTGATAAACGACCCTTGATTCCCTTACTTTATGTACTTTCTCTCTTTTTGGCCTGAAGAGGTCTCTGTCTTCCTGACGTAGATCAGACCCTGAGCGTGCTGGGGGTTGCATCTTGCTCATGTCTGCGCAGCTCCTTTTCTGATTAGACCAGCAACACTGTTTATTCTGTTGTTTTTCAGGCATTACATATAAAGAGATACTGAACTTCAAGCCACAACAGACATTGGAGTCAAAGGAGACAGCAGTGTAATTGTATGACTCCATCTTTTCAGAACTCAAAGCAGGAAAGTTGTAAATGTTTGTGATGTTTCAGGTGTATAAAACTTTTATAAATAAACTGGACATAATCTGTTTCATCTGCACCATAAGAAAGAGCAATGTCTTTTACTCTGCATGTGGAATTTAGTGCCTTTGGAAATAGCATTTCAGAACTGTCCAGAAACTTATTCTTGCCTAGAGCTTCTTCCTTCTGCACATAAGGATTCAGACTAACCTGGAGTCATCGTCCAAAGAGCAGGTAGGATTAACCCTTCAAATCAGAGATCAGAAGACTACCAGTTACCACCCTAAGCAAGCTGAGACACAGCAGGTCAGAGATGTGCCACAACTGCTTTGCAAGGCCATTGTGCTGTCCTGAATGCAAGAAGTATTCATGTGACTTATTCTGGAATATTTTGCCTCAGTAAGATGCCGGGGGAGGCTAATTAGCTTTTGCTACCTCAGCTAGTGCAGTGGGTAGTGGAGACACAGCCTGAATGGATGTCTGTGTCCTCGGTCCTGTGTGAGTGGAGGAGAACCTGAGCTCCAGCCATTTCTGAGGGATCTGTGCAAGAGGCAAGAAGCAAAGAATTGTCGATGTCCTAGATTGTTTGAAAGAAACCAGCATTGCAGGACAAGATTTGACAAATGCACTAAATGAACAGTCATTAGATAATTATTGTCAGGGGGAACAGTATTTTCCTCTGAATACAGTGCAGTATCTTTGTGTAATAGACTAGGGATCAAGGTTTTCCAGGGAGAAATTCCTAAGACTTTCTAAAGTTTTGTAAACTCTCTAGCATCTTAGTAATTAAATGATCACTGAAGAAGTACATCTTCTCAGAGGATGTACTGGTTATAGAGTCAGTGGTGCTGATATCAGAAATAAAACTGCATGCAGGTCACATTTTAGAAAATAAAATTAAGATAAAAATCCTATGCTGCAGCTGTTCATTGGGAATATCTACAGCAAGCTGTTTTGTTCACAGTGTATAGAGGTGTTGTCAGGTGTAGAGTAACAAGTGTTCCTTGTTTGAGCTTTTTGAACTCATCTTATTTGGGGAGGGCAACCCTCAGACCTTATGTTGTGAGATGCCTTAACAGAAGGAGACAGTTTCCTGATGGAATATTGGTTAAACACTTTCTGAGTTTCTCGTAATGTCTGGGTTCAATTATTGTGCTTTCTTAGGTGCTTAGTTTGTAGTAATCTCTCAGAGGCAGGAAAAATAAATTGGCAAACGTGAAGAATTTATTTGTGAGATTGCTTCTCCTTGTTAAAGGTAATCTGTACAGTTGACTGTTTGAATGTGGGTTATTCCCAATGTAATATGCTGTTGTATGTTGCTACTAGGTGAAACAGTTGTGAAGAAGGAACTTTGATCTTGGCAGCCAATAACTGAAAAAAGAAGTAAGAAATTACTTGGGGCTTTGTGCTTTAATGACCAATTTAAACCAGAAGTTTAATTAAGGCACAGTTGCTCTGTTTTTTTCAGTGAATGTTTAAGTTAAACTCCTGTAAATATTAAATATTAGCATTTGTTTTAAAATTGTGGTAAGCATTGATTAGCTGAGATGGGCACCTAGAGAAAAAAGAAATCTTGAATTGCTGGTGTGTTTGACAAGTCATTAAAAGCTATAGTTTCAGGAATGCATGCAAAAAAAAAAAAGGCAGATAATGTAATTTGAAACAAATATTTTTACACACTACAGGTCACTGAGGAAGTCACACTTAAGAGTCATACCCCATTTTGTACTATTGACTTTCTGCTTGAACTACACTTTTATGTTAAATAGGAACTGGAAATTTATTTTTTACTGAATAAATGTTTTCTCTTTTGAGGATCATGCCCTGTGGTTTTCTTAAAAAGTCATGGTAGAAAAGTGCCTGTTGGAATTGGTGTGTTTGTTAGAGCCAGTCAAGGAAGAATGTCTCAAACTTCTTTGAAAATGCTCCCATCGTATTTTAAATAGAAATTCAACATCCTAATTTCTAGCAAATGTTTAAAGCTTTGAGATAATTCAAATGACTTAAATGTTTGACTTCAAGGGAGCATGTTTTTTCATTCAAAAACTGGTTTGCATTTTCTTTGTAATGCCAGCACTTCAATGGGCATTTCCACCTCCTCCCACTTCAGCTTTAGTGAAGTCAAGCACGAAAAACCTCCATTGGCTGAGGTGAATGTTTCCCTCTCTTAATGTTGACATAGTATTGGAGAAGCAGCTAGCCTGCATGAGAGAGACGTAAGAAGATAATGTTAGGTTTTTTTCTAGATATTGGGGAAATGCAGAACTTTTAAAATAACCGAAGAGATGACCTTGATGCATGTGCCAGCAAAAACAGAAGTACTGCTGTGCTGTCTAGTCAGCAAACAGTTTGCAAGTTAAAATAAGAAACATGGAAAGTTTGTCACATATTTGCAAGATGTTTCTCCTACAAGATTGGAATCTGCAAAAATGGCTTCAAACAGCAATAGAGATTATTAGTATAAATAGCTCATTAAAAGAAAGACAAGGTAAAAGCAGAAATGTATTTTGCATGGGAGGCAGCTGCTGCTTCAAAGGGAGACACATTTCCTAAGTTTTTATTTGCTATTTCTACTGGTGCTAAGCAACTCAGGAATAAGAACCCAGTTTCTGTTTGCCTTAAAGAGAAATGTAAATATGTTCTGCATGTACTTGAAATGTATTGTGAAAAATAAAGGTTGCGGGGTTGTTTTTTACACAATAATGGTCTTGTTTTCCCCATTTGTATTCCTAAATATATAATCACTCCTGAAAATAGTAATTTTGGTATAAAGGAGCTGTATGAAACCTAATATTGTAGGTACATGTGATATCAGCTGCTGATGTTTTTGTTGGGGTTTTTTTGGAATACAGACCATAGATCCTAACCTTTCTCCCATTTTCCAAGCTTTAGGTCAGCCACAGAGTTGATCTGATTGTTCTACTGCCACCTAATTCTTTCTTACATCATCTTGGATTTCACCAGGCATCTCTGTTTTGTTCTGAAGGACATTATTTCAGTCATTAAATGCAGTTGCATTCCTCAGCCTGATTTTAAAAGTTAAAGTCAGATTGACCATCATCAAGCATATACGTCTAGAGTTGGATAGGGAATTTTGAGTTAGCAGGGTTCTAGTAGGATATATGGGCCCTGAAAACCCATGTGCCCTCTGTCTCTTCTAGAGCAGGATTATCCCCTTAAGTATTAGTTTTCATTGCACTGAAGACTCCTCATCTTTGCTGAATTCTGATCATATGTCATTGTGGGCTGGATGTGTCTCAAAATTTGACTTCTTGATTATTTTCTGGGTTTTTACAGGATAACACAGAGGTGAGTGCTAGAGTGTATCCTGCAAAATGTGTTCAGAAGATCCATTTTGTTCTTGATTGAGAACTACCAGGCATATCAACTGGGTGGGATTTTCTGAGCTTCCTAATTTCTGGCCTGCTGTTCAAATACAAGTATCAAATGCTTCTGATCTGCATCAGCTAAGGTTGTCAGAGAATGAAGCATTTGTTAGATGCTACAGTTCACTGGAACTCCTGGAGAAAGTCCAGAGAAGGGCCATGAAGATGATCAGAGGACTGGAGCACCTCTCCTACGAGGACAGGCTGGGAGAGTTGGGGCTGTTCAGCCTGGAGAAGAGATGGCTCCAGGGAGACCTTGTAGCAGCCTTTCAGTACCTGAAGGGGGCTACAGGAAAGCTGAGGAGGGGCTTTTTACAAGGCTTGTAGTGAGAGGACAAGGGGAGAATGGATCAAAACTGGAAGAGGGGAGATGTAGGTTAAACATTAGGAAGAAGTTCTTTAGTGTGAGTCTGGTGAGGCACTGAAACAGGTTGCCCAGGGAAGTTGTGGAAGCCCCATCCCTGGAAGTGTTCAAGGCCAGGCTGGATGGTGTTCTGAGCAACCTGAGCTTGTGGGAGGTGTCCCTACCCTTGCAAGGGGGTTGGAACTAGATTATCTTTAAGGTCCCTTCCAACTCAAACTATTCTATGACTCTATGAAACTGTCTGGGTCCTGTTGGAGAATGCTCACAGTTTTCTGTGCAGTGTCCTGGGGGCACATGCTCACGTGGAGCAGGAAATGTCTCTTGGTGGTTTGTGTGGTGCTTGCAGCAACATAGCTGTCATTTGAGTGACACTCAGGATACTAACACAACAAAAGACTGTCACCTAAGCCAATTCAGTCTGATATTAATGGCAAATCCATTATTATAATGACAATAATATTATCTCAGGTTACAAGAGTAAAATGATGGGGCTTAGGAAACCATGGGCATTTAGTCCACTGGGGCCTGGGCCAAGGCAGCTTTTTTTCAGGCATTTTAAAAGCCCCATTTGTACATGACAGAGTTCCTGCCACCAAGTAGTACCACTTTGGCATTTGTCCAAACACTTGGCTGTTCTAGGAAATTACTTACATTTTTGGGTTTGAGTCAAGTTTTCATTTCTTTTTTCATAAAAACAGTAGTGTGCTACTGTAAGGAGAGAAAATGGGGCTGCAAAGTGTGATCAGAAAAACATCAACTGAAGTTTTCTCTAAAGCAAACATCTCTGAGATCTAGGACACATTATAAAATAAAGGTCAGTTATAATTAATAAAAATTGCAACTCAGGAAGAATCCAGAACCATAGCTGGAGTAACCAAGTATTTTTCGTTAGAGTTCAAACTCTTAAAGAGTCCCAAGAAGATTTTTTATTTAATGCAGAAAATTAACATTGTACAAACTTTGAGTAAGGAGGAAGCATGACTGATACACACAAAACACCTGCTGGTTCTGAAGCAGAACACCCTTTTAAGAACAGGTGAGTGAAAAACAACACTGCAGGGGACTCCCCAGAAAGCATCCTCCAGAAATGCAGGTTCATCTATAAACAGGTATGTTGTTCTATCTTGCTGGAATAAGATGATCAAATCAGACAAATGTGTAATTCCATTTAAATGACTACATTGATGTAAAGCATCTCCAGTATGTATGTTAGCTAG